GTAAGGGTTTTTTTATATTTAAAAATCTGTCTGACACTGAAAATCCGTTGTATTGTAAAATTCGTTATATCAAAATTTGCTGTAGAAAGAGTTGACTGTATATAGTAGGTAACAAAAGAAATGCAAGTAGAGTTGCTTGCCTTTAAAAGCTTATAACTCACCAATCACGAATGCTAGAAACATAGTTTTATATTTGTTTTAAACCTCAAAATCTAGCTAATATTCAGTAAAATTTGAAGTGCAATTATTAAGACTAATTTGTGCAATTTAGCGATCTACATCAATAATTCTTACTTAATGAAATTTAAGTGTAAAAAAATTTTTCAGTAGGCCAACTACTCAAAAACTGATACTGTATTCAGATTCTTCTCAGTGCCGAGATTATAACAAGCTAAAATTCGTTCAAATCGAATCAGTAATCAGCGAAAAATCAGTAAAGAAGATCGTTGCGATATTATATAAAAATGTGTCTAACCATATTTATATATGGAGGGTCTCGCCGCCCTATCTCAGTTGGTAACAACTGAGACCTATTGTAGGTTACACTGCAATAGACCTTAGTTCAACCCCTAGCCAAGGCAGATCGTAATAATTTAATTTACGGGATTTACCAGTTTGATTCTGGGAATGAATTTCATAGGATGCGTGCAAACCATGTATGTTAAAGATCACGAATTTGTAGAATATGGTGACCAATTGATAGTTGTTTATATGAAGGATGGTAGCTTTCACAGCATAAGCTGTGTAAGGTCGCTTTGTCTACACATCACCCTGATAACAGGTAATAGTGGTAAGTAACTTGATGCATAGTGAACCAATTGAGTTTGGAACCTATGTTAAGGGGCTGGTCTGTAATGAACAAGTGCCGCATTGTCTGCAAAGGGTACCCGTGAGAGTAGATCAATGGTAGATACTGTATAACTTGGATTGAACAAAAGTCGTAGGTTATAGGTGGTTGATATTATACTGTCTTCAATCATCATGGTATCTAGATCACAACTAGGGTTTAAAGGCCTGGGTTCGATTCTTGGGGTGATTTTGAAGTATGGCAAGGCAACTATGGTGTAGGCTATCATCTTAGGTTGTTCTTGACTCTCTTTCCAGTAGTTGTGATGAATGTGAATGATGGTTGGATACCATATCTCTTTACCCTGCAGGTTAATTGATTTGGCAGTCTACTCAGATATTGACACTCATTCACCTAGGTTTAACGCCAACTTAAACTGGTTTGAAATATAGTAAAGGGAAGTTTATAGTGAACTGATGTGTTGTAAGTCGTATCATTCTGTTGAAGGATATGCATCCAAATATTTACCACTAGTGTGTGCCTAGTAAAAGTATCAAAAAAAAATGATTTCAACCATTTTGACCATTTTGGATATCCGAAATGATCCATTTTGACTTCATGTATAATTATGACTTCTTGGATTTCTGATGGATGGTAAGCGATCATTATCATGACCTCTTGAATCCTGAATAGATGATGAATAGCTCCTTTGAATACTTGGCGAATGACTATTACTAAATCTTTTCGAATTTATGATGATTGGTGAATGGTCATTATCATGATCTCTTGGATTCCTGATGGATGGTAAGCGGTCATTATCATGACCTTTTGAATCTCGAACAGATAATGAATAGCTCCTTTGAATACTTGGTGAATGATTTCTTCTAGTATTTAGTGTATGACCTTTCTGATCTTTAAAGATTGTTAGGTTCTTAATGTAGATTTTATAAATATGTACTTTTTACCTTGATAAATGACTTGACGAGTAATGAGAGTATCTTAAACCTTTCCTTTCTGGGGTATTTTTTTCTTGATAAAGAATTTGATGAATAATGAGAGTATCTTGGATTATTCATTCTTGATAAATGGTGACTTTGTGAATTTGTATAATATGATCTTAAACGTTGTTGACTTATTGTGTTAATTTTGAATAATTTTTGATTGCGCATTTTTAACCAAGAAAAAAAAAATATAGCTTGAAGAAAAAAGAATGATTTTTTTTATTTTTGTTTTTATTTTTTTTTCTTACTAATAAATAATACCTCTTTTTTTGATTAATAGTCAAACAAAATCAATCTAACGAAATAGAAAATCAATTTATCAAAATTAGAAAATCAACCAATTTATATTCATAAATTAATCTATATTTAGACTACAATTTAGTTGTCTTATTTAGATGTCTATTAAAGTTTTGTATTGATTACAAATCAATGTTAATTAAACTTAATACCAAATATACTATTTTGTAAACTTGTAAACACATATATATACGATTTTTGTATAACAAACCTAAATATAAATTAATTGTCTCAAAATTTTTTTTTAAAAAAATTATTAACTACAATGCTAAAAACATATTGAAAAATGAAAAATCTTTTGTAAAAAAATCTAATAATTCATCAGTTGATAATAGTGATACTTGACTAAACTCTTTTTTTGAAAAATTGTAATTTCATCAAAAGTTTCGTCTCTTTAATATTTTTATATGAATAAATATAAAATTATTATATTTTTTAATGTATTTTAATTCAAGAAATTTAGATCAAGTTAAATATAATTTCAGCAATTAAGTAAAATAATTTCATTATTAATAAAAAACTAGTTTTGTCATTTCAGTTTCGTCAATTTCGTCATATTAAGAAAGGTAATTTCATCAGGTATCACTAGTTGATAATAATAAAAATAAATTGAAGAAAGTACATTGTTATTGTGATAAATGCAAAGGTTGCTTGGTTAATCTACATACAGAAAAAAAACATAATTTAAGAAAGAATATTAGACCGAAAGAAATTATCAAAAATATAGTTCCAAATTGAAGTTTACCCAATGATCCAAGTCAAAATATATTGGTAAATCTTTTGAATGATCTGATAAAAGTTAACACTTCAAGTAACGATAATGATCAAACATTCAAACCTATTCAACCTATTAAAAACTATTCATTTCTTTCTAAAAAATTACCAAAAGACGATTCAAAAGGAAACAAAAAAGTATCAGTGATGGTGGTGGTGATATTATTAGAAAGAATCCTGTCATTATTATTGAATATAGTATTTTCAATGATAGTGATGATGATAATAATGACGATCTGGATGACAGTGATCTCGATTCTATTGAAGGAAGTTCAATTGAATCTTATTCATCCAGTGGTTTGGTATACTGGAAATGGAAGATATATATAATGATCCCAAAAAACCTATTGTTGATTTTAACGAAAGTTCTAACTGGATTGTCTTATGGATTTTATTATATCAAGAGAAGTATAAGCTATCTGATATTGCTACTGATTCTTTGATTAAATTTTTTAGATATCTTTTGATTCTTCTGGATGCAAATACATATAATGCTTTTTCTACATTACTATATATAACATGAAAAATACTCAGCATATGTACTCATATCGTAAAATATGCAGCATGTGAAAAATACTGTAAATTATATAATATAGCAGAGATATCAACCACTAAGCCTACTCAATCTCCAGTTAAAAGCCATTGTACTTATATCAATTTACCAAACTATCCAATGGCAAATCAAAGAAAAAAATGTATAGTGAAACTTACCAAGACAGTTCACACTATAGACAGAGCATTATATCGGCCTTCTTTAATATATCCAATGGTTAATTTAAAATACCAATTACAATTGATATATAATCGAAAAGGATTTGAGGAATCATACAGGAAATGAGAGATTGGGATAGTAATCCTCAATATTTGAATGATATTTATGATGGAAGAGTTTGGAAAACATTCTGGAATCAAAACCAAAATATACCATTTTTTCAGAAAAAAGTAACTGATAGACATCTGGGAATTATATTAAATATTGATTGGTTTCAGTCATTTGATAACACCAATTATAGTGTAAGAGCTGTGTATGATGTAATATGCAACCTTCTACGAAGTGAAAAGTTCAAGCCATCAAATGTTTTATAATGACTTTGATCCCTGGTCCAAATGAGTCAGGCCTGCACTGTATAAATCATTATTTGAGTCTAATAGTCAATCAATTGATTGAATTATGGAATTAGATTGAACTATCAGCAACATATGAAAGCATTAATAAGCCTATTAAAGTTGCAATAATATGCTGTTCTTGTAACATCCAAGTCACAAGAAAGCTTTACGGTTATATATCTACATGCGTAGCTTATCATAGATGTTTAAAAAAGGCACAATTTGCATGATCGTAATCAACCAAATTTTGGTAGATTTGACGATATTGATGAATGGTTTATTGAAAGTGATATCAATCAAGTTTAAAAAATGCACAAGAATAGTTGGGCTGTAATACTAAAAATGCTAGAATTATCCATGTACATAATACTTCAGTGCATTGGTCTGAAATGTATCATCTCATATATTTTGATTCAGTCTGATTTCTTATTATTGATCCTATGCATTGCTTGTTTCTAGGTATCACAAAATGGATTGTAACATAATTGTGGATTGAGGAAGATCGATTGAAACAAGATAATCTTAAAACAATGCAAAATAGGGCTAAGCCAATAAAAGTTCCAGCAGATATTGGCAGGATTTTATATAGAATTGATACAGGAGAAGGGTTTTCAGATTTTATCACAGATCAGTGGAAAACCTTTATCCTTGTGTATGCAACTATGATTACTTGGAATCTGCTTTAGAAATCAGATAGAGTGATCCTCACCAATTTTATTCGTGTATGCAATATTCTTGTATGTAGAACTATATCTAAAAATGGGTTAGAAGATGCTCACGAATGACTTTTAATAATGGTAAAGCTTATTGAGAAGAATTATGGTCCAGAAAAAATTTCACTGAATTTACATTTATGTTTACACATTTGCCATTGTGCTTTATATTATGGTCTGTTATATGCATTTTAGTGCTTTAGTTATGAAAGGATGAATGGTTTATTGGGTAATTATAATACTTCTATCAAATTTACTGATATTTACTTTGTATTTAATAAATTATTTTATATTTAAGGCTCATACCATACTAGTAACAGAAAAATTGAGCCAGAATTATTGAAAACCATTCAATATAATTTCCTGCTTAACCAGTTTTCTTTATACATTTAGGACCATTAACATTTATTGGCTTATTTACCTTTGATAACGCCAAATGAGACTACTAGTAGTCTTACAGTTCAAGATGAACTCCATGAAAATAAACTATTATGAATTTTTATCAATGTCTAGAAACGTTGAGGAAATGACTGGGATAGGTTCAGAATCCTTTTCGGGTATTTTTCTTAATCCTAAAAGAATAAATACAGACCTATCAAAAGAAATATTAGATTTGTTAGTTGAATATTATTGCAATGCCTATAACAAAGATTTTGTAGCATTATTAAATATTCATATTACCAATCTAGAAGCTATACTGGTACTTTCAAAGGTGAATATTTACAGGCGATTATGATTTGGCTCTGAAGTTTTCAGATCATCGTACTCTAAAAGACATATCTGATCATTTAAAATTCTATTCCAATTTATACATGTAAATACTAAAGAAACTTATCCTGAAATTGTTCAATATTATTTTGAGCATACTGTATATTTTTCAGAAGGAATCTAAGAATCATTCATTGGCATTTGTAAGGTGGTATCTTCTGGCAGAGAATCATAAAACTAGATTTCACTACAAAATCGATAGCAATAACAATTCTTGCAATATTGAACTATAGAAAAAAAAATTTACGACCTTAGTAAAGATTGTATAATTTCAGTGTATAGTATATTGAGTCAATTTGTTGAAAGTTCTTTTATAATAGGCAAAAGGAAATATATGTCAATGATACTGATTAATAGAAAGTAGAGTTCCGCAATTCAATTTGATATTTGAATATTTGATTTGATCAAATTCAAATCAAAGAATGATTTATTTGATCAAATC